CTGTCTTTCTTTATTTCCTAGCTACTTATATGTTTCTGAGGGTTTTTTATCCAGATTGCCAGTCTTGTGGCTCTTTTAATTATTATTTCAGAACTACTCCAGCAGAGAATTCAAGAAGTTTGCTGTGTTTGGAGAATCTGTCTTGACAAAAACTTCAGAAGGATTCAATTATTTGCTGGTTTGATTGGTTTGTAATCCTAAGGTTTCTTGTTTATAACTGTTGTTTTTAAAAATCTTGTTTAAAAAAATGTGTCAAGTGATACCCACCAATTAGAGTTCAGGCTCTTTATGTCTGGCAAGCTCAGTACTGGAGCTACTATGAGAGCCTCTTTTAATTGTCTGAATTTTTCTTTGTCCGTTTCAGTCCACTTAGGTTTGTCCGTGGTTAGTTTTCATATAAAAATTTTACTTTCTCACTGTACCCCTCGATCCATTGTCTACAGAATGCCAGAAGCCCAAGTACTTGTCTTACTTCCCTTTTTGACTGAGGGGAGGGTAATGCAATGATCCCTGCCGCCCTGTCAGGGTCTAGCTTTTTCTTACCTTTAACCAACCAGTGTCCTAAATATTTCACCTTGGGCTCAGTGAATTGCAGCTTGGATTTTGAAACTTTTAAGCCTTTATCCCCTAAAAAGTTTAGGAGAGCTATTGTATTTGCTCTTAACCCATCTTCATCAGGACCTGCTATTAATAAGTAATCCACATATTGTAATAGTTTTGTTCCCTCCGTTGGGACAAATTCACTAAATAATTGCTTGAGAGCCTGACCGAACAGGCTCAGCGAATCCACAAACCCCTGAGGCAGGGAGGTCCACCTAAGCTGTTGTTTAAGGTTCATGTCTTGGTCCTCCCATTGAAATGCAAAATAGTCCCGACTCTCCCTTGCTAGAGGACAAGTCCAAAAGGCATCTTTCAAGTCTATTATGCTATACCAGATAGCATTTGATGACGCATTACTGAGGAGTGTATAGGGATTTGAGACGGTGGGAAATAAAGTTTTGTTCGCTGGTTAACAGCTCTTAGATCCTGCACCAAGTGATAACTCCTGTCCGGTTTATGGACCGCAAGAATCGGAGTATTATGTCTAGACATACATGGCTCCAAGGTGCCCTTTTTTATTAGATCCTCAATTATTGGTTTTAACCCCCACCTTCCCTCCATGGGTATTGGATATTGTTTGACCCTAATAGGGTCTTCTGGTCTCTCAATTTCTGTGTGTATAGGTTCCATTTCCAACTTCCCTGCCTCCCCCTTTGTGTGCCACACTTTAGGGTTTACTTTTCCCTCATCCTCAGCAGTGAGTTTATACAAGCTTACCATAAGCTGAGAGTCTTGTGCAATTAGACTAATACCCAAATTCACCATTAAATCCCTCCCCAACAAATTATAATCTGCTTCTTCCACCAATAGTATATTCCCCAAAGACAATTTGTTTTCGGACTCAATTTCCATATCTTTAATTACTGGTACCTTGAAAGGTTCCCCCTTTGCCCCAGTTACCGTCATGGAATCCTTGCTCTTTGTGCATCCTCGTGGTCGGTGTTGGACCGTACTCCTTTCGGCCCCTGAATCTACCAAAAACACAAGTTCCTGCTTGTGGGTCCTATTCTTAGTTTTATCAAGGGCTCCTTTGGTGTCACTGACCTCATGTTAAAGGCCCCTGACACCTCTAGCCTTCTTGAAAGATTTTCATGTCCTTCATTCTCTTTTTACATTCCCTCTTAAAGTGACCTCTTTGCTTGCAGTAATAGCGCTCTGTTACCTCCCTCTGTTGGGGCTCAGGCCTCCTTGTGGGATATGTGGGTTTCACCAAGGCTTTTTGTGCCTGACCTGTTTTCCCGATGTTTGTGTCCCATTCCTGTTTTGGTGCTTCCCTTACCACCGCCACTAGGACCTTTGCCTGTGCCTTCTGCTTTTCATCCTCATATAAACTTTTTGAGCCTCCCACAATAATTCCTGTAACGTTCTTTCCTACCAATTTTCCAATTTCTCCAATTTCCTCCTCATGTCCTCCCAGGATTTAGCCACAAATTGCGTTTTTGAGAAAATGGCTCCCACTGAAGAATCTGGGTCCCTTCCCAAGTACATTTGGAGAATTTTTCTTCACCTTTCCAGCCACTCAGTAGGAGTTTTGTCCCTCCCCTGGCATTCCCCCAATGCTTTACTCAGATTCTGTCCCTTTGGTACCGCCCCCCCAGATACCTCAAATCACCATATTTCTAAGGTCTATCATCTTTTGCCAGTCCTCTTCTGCTTGTGCATTCCATGATGGCCTTTGACTGGGCCATTTGACCTCCCCACTCCCCCATTGTGGGTTTCGATGTTCCCAATCCTTTATTGCTGCCACCCTTATCATATCTCATTCTTCCGCATTAAACAAAGACCTCACTATGGCACTAATATTGTCATATGAATAAATACTGTTCCCCAAAATCTCATCCAACCTCTCTGCCACACCCAACAGATCATCCATTATTTTCCCCATTTCCTTTTTCCACGCACATCCCCCAAGTTTATTGGCACATTCACAAATCCAATGACTCCTGGAGCTGTCGGGACTTCCCTGAGTGGAAAGAGACTCCTGCTGTCCTTCCTCATCCTCACTATCATCCGCATTAGCCTTCCGAGTCTTGTGTGTCATAAGGCTGGAGGGCGGGGACTCGTTCCCCGCGGATGTGTGTGTGTGTGTCCTGTGTTCCCCTCCGGTTGTGTAGGAGGGGCAAGGGGAAGAGTTTATTCGTGTGCGAGCGGCATCGCCGAAGCTTGCCCCTGTAGAGGCGTTGCTTCGGATGGCGGAGCCTGTGGCACTGCCTGTCGATGCGTGGGATTCATGGGTTTGGAGAGGGCACCCTGCACCTGGGGATTCGGGTATGGGAGAGGGAGGTTTTCCATGGGTTCCCAGGGTTTTGTGAGGTGCTTAGGTTGTTTATAGGTTTTTACAGGAAATTGCCCCGTACTGGCATATTCCCATAGCCGTGCATACTCCCTTTCCTCGTGTGTTGATCCCTTTTCCTCGAACACAAATTCCTTCAATGCCCGACAGGTTTCCTTATCAAAAGTCCCAAACACAGGCCAAAATAAGTATTTCTTAACCTCCACATGAGCCCATTTCTCCACACCATAATATATCATTCTCTCCTTAGACCTCCCCCTCCTCATGGGGCAATCCTTCCAGTGTTCCAACATCCACCCCAGAGGACTGTTTCCCCAGAGGACTGGTATATCGCAAGTACAATATTTTTCCACCTTTTCTGGTTTCCCTGGGTTTTCCCTTATAGTTTACTCTTTTTCGGTCCCATGTTTCTTACTTGCTTACCGTTTTCCTTTTTCGGTAGATAAGACTCCAAATCGACCTGTTTTCCTTTTACAGATACACTCCTTGATTCTTAGTTAAAAAAACTTTTGCCGACCTACTAGTTGTACAGTGAACCGATCTGTAGACTTTCAATTGACAAAAAAAGAAGAGCTCTCTTACCTTTTCCCTGGATCCAGTGAGGTTCCGTTGTTCCTGCTAATCGATGGACCTTTCGTCCTCCCTCTGATCCAGCCCGTGATCAAAAAAACACCTCCCCTTCCTCCCTTAATTCCTGGGATTTTGGATTGGTGTATGTGTGTGCTTTTAATGAGTTTTTCACCCGCTTCCCCTGCGACCAACCACTTTCCTCATGGAAGAGTGGAACTGTGATCTTCAGGTCCACACTCGCTTTGTGATAATTTCACGTCTCACACACACACACGCTCACACCCCACTCAACCACACAATACTTACGGTCCTTTTTCCCATGTGGAATCTTCATGCACGTAGTTTTATGAGTGAAAAATTTCTGCCGGCTTTGGAGAATTACTCCATTTTCCTGAGAGCTCAGGGCCTGTTTTTAATCTTTAGATTGTGGCTTTTGGCTAATAGCTTGTGTTATCGGATTGGTTCCATTGGGCTTTTCCCAATCCTATCCAGCCGCTGAACTCAGTGGGGAGCTACTCGGACCTGGAGAGGGGTCCCTGGAATCCAATATCAGATCACGTCGGGGTCACCAAGATTGTTATAACTAAAAATAAAAACTGACCCAATCGTAATAAAAATAAAACCAAAAAATTTATTCGTGACCGTATTGCAGTCCTGACAGCCACCAATGGAAAAAAAGACAGCGCAGACCCCGGGGATACAGGCTGAGTGGACGCAGATCCGGCCTCTATCACACCGAACCCCCCTTGGTCCACACTTGCTGCTCCACAGGGACAGTTCTTATACTCTTTTTCTTGCCCATGGCAGAGTCCCTTTGTCTCCTTTCAAACTTCATCATATTCATGTTGGTTTCTTCACTCAAAGATGCACAAAACCTCATCTGGGAAGAGACAAATGTTCCTCCTGCGATTCCCGGAATCCTGTGTTCAGGCAGAAGGTGTTGATGGCCCTGGTTATCTCAGATGTGTATCTTCATGGGCCATCATCCTGGTACATCCTCTGGTACGTGCCACTGTGAATGACCATCTGCTGTGCAGCCAAGTTTCCTCCGTATGTTAATGCCGAGTTCCACCCTTGTCAGCCAGCCCAGGTGTCACTCTAGGATTAAACCCTGCTCCCCCCTTTAATAGCATGTTTGTTACATATATCTATAATCCATTGGCATGAATTTCTACATATTCTAACAAACGGGACCCCCATGGACCCCTTGCTGCCTTCTAAAAGCTCTGAGGTATCCCCACAGCCCCCCCAAACCAAAAGGGAACACTGCAGATCCCCCCAGAGTGCAGCGGAACCGCCAGAGCCCCACCCCCAAAACCAGAAGGGACCGCACAAACACCCCGAATGTCCCTGATAGACCAAAGGGACACCTGGGACCCCCGAAACCCCACCAACCCCCCGAAAAAACCGGGGGGAACCCTGAAGACCCCTTAAACCCTCCAAAAAGATCAGGAAACCCCCGGGCCCCCCTCTGGAGTCCCTGCAGCCCCCTCACCCACATGGGGGTGTCCCCAGGGGGTGGCGGATCCCCACTCACCCCGTGGATGTCCCAGTACCCCAAAACCGCCATGGCCGCGCGATCGCTGCCCCGCCCACCGTGGCACGGCCACGCCCCCATGGGGCGGGGTGGGGGCAGGGCTGGGGTGGGGCTTAATGGGAACGGGTTCCATGGGGGTCCCACTTATCCCAGGGTCCCTTTTATCTCAGGGTCCCTCTTATCGTGGGGGACCCTCTTATCCTGGGGTCCAGTTTATCTCCAGGAATCCCCTTATCCCCGGGGTTCCCCTTTTCCTGGGGTTCCCCTTATCCCAGGGGTCCCTCATATCCCTGGGGATTCCCCTTATCCCGGGGCTCTGCAGCCCCCCAAAGCTCTGTGGGGTCCCCCTTAGTAGAGG